TAGAATAATTTACAAAGGAAAGATATTAGAAAATCAGATGCATGCTTGATGAATAAAGACATATATCCAATTGTTCCTATGCTGAAAAAATGTTAACTGTTAGGTAAACCTTACATTTATAAAAAGCAACTTGATACTTGAATTAATTGCTCAAAAAATGGTGGTAAAGTTTAAGAAGAGTTAGATAGTAATTTAATTTGTATTCCTGCATTGAGCAGGGGTTCATACTCAGCCAAAATAACTAGTTCCAACTTTAGGATTCTATGAAAGAGAAATAACAAATTCCAATATAATGTAAATGACTAATTTAATTTTTGAATAGCTGAACAGAATCTGAAGACAGGCTTTTTATTTTATTGTCATGAGATTTGTTTTGCATAAAAATATGGTTGTTGAATATTCAACAATTAAAGGACCAGATAGTATTAAGAGATACTTTTTACTTCTGTTGTTTATTATTAATATTCTATATACAATTATCCATGTCAATATCTATTTCCAAGCTTTATTATACAAAACAATCCCTAGTGTTTACTAGTTAAAAAGGTAAAAATCAAGACCCTTGCAAAACATTATATCCAGAAATGCCATATATTATATATGCAAGACCAGCAAAATAGCTTTCGATCCTAATGCTTGGGTGTGTCAGACAAGAGATTAAAATTTGAAGGACACTGCACAAATACTTGGAAAAAAAATCCAACCATGTTTAAAACTGATGAATTAAGCAACAAGCAGTTTCAGAAGTTTCTACTTGAAAAAGTTCATGACATTACTTTTAGGAAAGTTAATAATAACCAAAAAATGCACTACAAAATTAGAAGATTTCAGACTAGTATCACATGCAAGAAAGCATACATGAAGAGTAAAATGTATACATTTTTTGAGTTTAAAGATAAAAGATTCCCAGACAAGGCAAGTGAGTAATTGCTTTAAAAATATTAGTATATAAAATCTACAAAAGTAAGGAAGTGGGTCACTCTGATGATGTTCATCCAACGTGTTCGAAGAGGACCTTGACCTTGACATCTAACAGGTTGTGGGCTATCCATGGTGTGTCTGCAGGTGGCTGGTAAGGTCTATATGGGCACGGAATGTTCTGCCACATGTTGGGCAGACTTGTGTAGGCATCATAGGTGTAGCATTTGCAGCTCTGGCTTTGCAGAGTGCTCACTTTGTTTGTGCTGTAGTAGTTCATTTGTCTTCAAATGTCTGACAGCCTTGATGGATCAACGTGCACCATGTCAATCAATCTTGTACCAGGATTTCCCAGGAGGTGGTGTCTACCTATGTTCAGGGACTTGAAGGAGGCTTTCAATGTGTCTTTGTATCACTTCCTTTGTCCTCCTTGTGATCGCTTTCCTTGATACATCTCACCATAGAGGAGCTGCATAGGTCTGTCTGGTAACAGTTTTGTGGCATACATAACAATGCACACATAAATGAAACAGGATCTTGCAAAAGTAACTCAAACCTCATCTTAATGCAATCTTTCAAAAAATCACGTAGAAGTTTAATTGGTTCAGAATGCACAGTTCATTTGTTGATTGATATTCACCAATATGTACAAGTTGCACCAGTTCTCCAGAACCTGAGCTGGTTTTCCATTTGCTTCTGAGTACAGTTTAAAGTGTTGATTTGGCTCTTTGAAACCCTATATGACTTAGTACTGGAGTACGTGGAGGAGCATCTTTTCCAAAAAAATTTGATCCGTCCTATTCATGCAAGAGCCAGTTTGGTATAGTGGTTAGAGCTAGAAACTGGGAGACTGTGAGTTCTAATCCCTCCTTCATCCAAAGCCATCTGGATAATCTTGGGCGTGTCACTTTCACTGAGTCCTAGGAAGGAGACAATGGCAAGCTATTTTTGAAAACCTTGCCAAGAAAACTACAGGGACTTGTCCAGGCAGTCTCAGAGAATTGAGTATGATTGAATGGAAGGGGAAAAAAGAACCCCTTTGTGTAAATCAGAGGAATTTGCTAGTTGTCCCCCAATTTGGGAAAATCAAGGGAAAGAAGGCAAATATACAGTTTTTTGCTAGTATGTATGAGCTGTAAAAAAGCCTTTGCTATCTCCTCTTCCTCTCCATGTGGTTGGACTTCATACCAGTTGCTTTTTCTATTAAAAACTAAGCTCTTGTAGAGAATCTCTGGGATGCAAAGTAAAGCCATTGGTTAAGAGTTAAATTTGTGTGCATTAGGTGGATTTTTAGTTTGCTTTACACTTTTATTTAATTTTTAAATAGCTATTTTACTGTATAACCTTGGTTGTAAATTACCAAGTACATTTTTATTATGGCGGGTATCAGTAAATAGCATAAGATAAACAGTATTTCCAGACAGAAAAACCAAGCCAGTGTAATCATATATTTGGGGTATATTATCAACCCACCCATTTCACAGGAGACTTTCTTATATTGTCAGAAACTACCCACAGATGAATTTCTTGTAAAATATTCTAAGACATGAAATTTCACTCATGGTAGGAAAAGATTATTAACATCTGTTCCCAGATGTTATGACTCACTTTTTTGTTATATTAACATTTTAAAACTGTAGAAAAAATCTTTATGTTCCCTTTCATTAAATTCATTTCTGGATATAGTGAACATTTATGAATTTCTATACTGTAGTCTTTCTCATTTATTTTAAAATTTGAAAGCAATAGTAATAAAATCTAAATAAACAACAACATAATAGCAACAATGAAAGTGCATTATAATCAGCATATGAATTGACAGTATAGTACTAACAAGAAATTAAGTACATTTGAGAAAATGATGAATCCGCTTCAGTAATAAGTTAGCAGTGAAAATTATCTTATAAATATTATTCAAATATAAAATTAACGTTACGTCAACAAGAATTCAAATCAATTTCATCTTCTTTACAGAACAGTATTAAAAGATTATTATTGAAACATAGTTTACATTATCAAATGGACAAAACCTTCCTAGTATCACAATGGACGATCCTCATAGTGATTCCCAGAGAATAAAGATCAATCGCTTTTACTATTACAATTTCTGAGTTTTAGGTTGTTACTATTATACATGTTCTGATTTTCCTCTATTTATACACAAACTATAAAGCCTAATTAAGGACTTAAGCAACAAATGAATTCCTAGCACACCCTCGTCCCCAAAAAGCTGGTTAAATTGGTGGTGCATAGGTCATTATGATCCATGGTAACATTTTATAAGAATCAAGCACTAAGATAATATGAAATAAAGGCAAGATCAATTTAATAATTAAATGAAATTCAATACAGATTTTAATAGCTATCCATGTAAAATTTTACTGGCTCTATATGCATTTTAGTGATTAATCTTATTTTCTGTTAGAAAATCAACATAAAATTGGTATAAAATAATTTTAGTAGGTGTAGGGTTGTGTGTGTGTGTGTGTGTAAAAAAATTCAGTTTTAAATTTATAACCCCTATAAGTGGCAACATCTGCTGACCGTGTTTACAATTAGGATTATATCTTCATTTGAATTAAAATGTAGCACATAGTTTGCAATTGTAATCTTAACAGCAGGAATGGTTTTTTTATTAGTAGGAATATGTTTTTTCAGACTGCAATGTGATCTCTGATACTTTATGAAGTCCCAAGTCATATCTCAACACTGTCTAAATTTCGAGCTAACCTCGCCTGGACAACACTATAAAATATTTTATGTTATACGGATTTTATACCCAGTAAAATTACTTTTCTTCTGCCTATGTGCATGAGTATGTGTAAAGGTTTTCCCTATCCAGTCATTTTTGACATCAAGAGGCAGTGCTCATCTCTTTTTCTGAGCCAAGGGAGCCAGTATTGTCCTAAGACACTTCCATGGTCATCTAGCCAGCATGACTGTACGCCAACGCTGTTATCTTCCCACCGAAGTGGTACCCATTTATCTACTCACATTTACATGCTTTTGAAGCAGGAGCTGGAGCAAATAATGGGAGCTCATCCCTTGTGTGATATTTGCGTCTCAAACCTTTCCAGATGACAAACTCAGCATCTTTAACTGTTGAGTCACCATACCTCTTATGTGTATATGTATACAAGTATACATGCATGTACACACACACACACACACACACACACACAGTGTGTGTATGTTGTTTGTGTGTGTGTGTGTATGGAAATGGACTAACAAGTTACATGCAAGCATGTTAAGTTTCAGAAAAGACTTCTTTTCACAGAAATACTGAAACTATCCCCCCAAAATAGATTTTGTGTATTCTTCACAAAATTAACATTACAACTGAAAAAGGAAAACATAATTCCCATGCAAAATATTGTATAAAACCTGATTCTATAGAACCTTGTACACAAATGTATATACTCAATGTTATCAAAAGGCATTTGCCTGTATAACAATTGTTAGAGTATAATCAAGAAATTTGGAAAGAAAATTATTTTAACTTCTACCTTTGTTCCTCCACCATCCCAGCAAACAGAGCCCAAATCAGAGTTTGTGGAATTTGAATGTGAACAGTAGAAATTTGTTTGTCTCCCAGAAGCTTATTGCAATCATTATTTATGTTATTTGTTAAAAAAATATGAAAATCATAGACATTTTGCTCTGGAATTTTGGCAGTGAAATCATGCATTATTAAGATGTTGAAAACAGAATTGTTACTGTATTCTAGAGAAAGTGCAATAAACATGTACAATATTCAAAATGTTTCTATGGACTGCATATGTTATATAAGTCAATAGGCATCTGAAAGATATTGATCGGTAGGTCAAAATATACCGTAGCAGATTCCTAATCTTAATTCTAGTACTGTACTTCAGAACACACTTCTTTTTTACTGGCATAATTTCCTAGCAAGACAATTCAGACAAAAATTTCCTGTTGTAAAAACTATATTTAAATGAAAGTTTAAGTGCCAAAATCCAATTTTTATCATAAAGATAATATAAGGTTACTGAATTGTAATAAACGTATGAAGCAGCATTTTACTATTATTTACTTATATCATTATCTTTATTCTTATTTACTTGTATTTTCGTGGGATTCAGTATCTCCAATCAGGATTAGATCCTCATCATGATATGCAGTATTCCAACATAGGGTGGACTGAGCAGTGCCTGTTGAGAAAATCATAACATCAAAGTTGCATTTAGAGGGATTGAACCTTCCTTGAAATTGAAGGCATTTTAAAAGTGGCAAAGAACACCCAGTGTCTTATGACACACTATCAAAATAGTTCAAGATATAACTATAATTTAATTTAATGCTCTTGATTCTAAATAAACAGGACAAATATACATTTTATATGCAGTATATTTCCTGTGCCATCAGAACTATTATATAAAAAATTGCTACTATAAAACGTTTCCAGAGCTAATAATAAGTTAATAGTGAGATATTTTCTAAACAAATGTACAATATTGTACTAATTTCAAATATACTAATTCTCATGCTCTTAAAATAGAGAAAATTACATCTCTAGAATATAAAAATAATTGGAGTGGAGTGTTGAGTGGAATGGGATAGGATAGGATAGGAATAGGAATAGAATAGAATTCTTTATTTGGCCGTGTGATTAGATGCACGAGGAATTTGTCTCCTGTGCAGAATTTCTCAGTGCATATGCAAAGCAACAAAGTAATAATAATCATAATAACAATACCAATAAGGTTTAGTAAGCAAGGATAATAATAATGCTACAGCCACACAACATAGGTAAATGTACACAGACAGTATACAGTACTGTGAGAATTAGGTGTTCAGCAGACTGATGGCACAAGGGAAGAAACGGTCTCTGTGTCTTGTTGTTTTGGCATGCAGTGCCCCATAGCAGCATCCCAAGGGGAGGTTAAAACAGTTTATTCCAGGATGTGAGGGGTCTGCAGATACTTTCTCAGCCCTCCTTCTGATCCACACAATATACAGATCTTCTATGGAAGGCAGGCTGGCTGCAGTTGTTCTTTCTGCAGTTCTAACTATTCATTGGCATCTGTACCTGTCCTGTTTGGTTGCTGTACCAAACCAGACACTTATAGAAAAACAAATGACTCAATAATTATTCTATAAAACTATACCAACAGCTCCTGAGGCAGTCCAAACTTCATGAATTGACACTGAAAAAACATACTTTGTTGTATTTTTAAAATGCTAGTTCTATTGTTAAGTGTCCACTTTAAATCCTGGAAGATTATAGAACCCCAAAACTTGAAGGATTCTACAGCTGATACTGTGCTGTCAAATATAGTAAGAGATGGTGGAATAGAAGAGTTCCTCCTTAAATCCACTCTCTTCTCTATAGTTTTTGAGCTCCAGATTGTTCCAGCTGCACCACAGGTCAAGTTGTTCAACTCCTATCTATATGCAGACTCATTACAATCTTGAATGAGGCCAATGACCATTGTATTATCTGCAAACTTCAATGCTCTAAAGAAGGTTACCTTAAGATGCAGTCATTGGTATATATATATATATAGAGAGAGAGAAGAACAACAGAGAGAGCACCCTGAGGGGTGCCTGTCCTCATTGCCTGGGTACTAGATGTAATTTTCCCTAGCTTCACCTGTTGCTTCCTATCTGTCAAAAAGCTTATGATATACCTGCAAGTATGAATAGGCATAGTGATCTAAATCAGTTTAGAGTGAAGAATTTCTGGAACGATGGTATTAAATGATGAGCTGAAGTCTATACATAGGTCCCCAGAGATTCTAGGTGTTGTAAGATACAGTGCAATATCATTTTGACAGCATCATCTGTCGACCTATTTGCTCAATAGGCAAATTGCAGGGTGTCTAACAGCAGATCATGATGACTTTCAAGTGGGCCAGCAGTAATCTCTCTAAATTAGCTTCATAACTATAAATGTCAGAACAACCAGGCTGTAGTCATTCAGCTCCTGATGGAGGATTTGTTAGGAACTAGGATGATATTTTAAGTAAGAAGAGACATAATACATCTCAGTTATTTATTAAAAATCCATGTGAAGTTGGGGACCGGTTGTTCAGCATAGGCTTTCAAACAAGAAGGAGTTACTTGGTCTGGGCATGGTGCTTTTCCAATCTTTTGAAATAGACCTCAAACATCTTTTTCTGAGATCACCAGAGGTGGACCCCTGGAGAAAGGTAGAGGATGTAGATAGATGAAGGAAGATTGATGACTTGGTGTATCTTGGGTGAGGTAGGTAGTGGTAAATGACAATTATTTCTTCCCAAACATACAGTAGAACACCTTTAGATTATCAGTCAGTTGATATTTTCTAAACAAATGGACAAATTCCAAATATACTAATTCTCATGCCTCTTAATATATAGGGAAAATTATATCACTAAAAGGTTAAAAAACTGTAAAAAAACTGTAATTAACTTTGTCATGTAAAATAAATCCTTGTCTATATTTAACTCCACTTGTATCATTACCTTCAAATGATTAAATAATTATCAAAATACTTAAAGTTGGCACGGAAATACTGTATATGTCCAATTCACTACTCCTCTCTAAAAATTGTAACGAGACCTGGAGAGTATTCAAAGTAATATGAGATGGTGGTTCCAAATTATCAAATAATGCACAAGTAATACTGTCTTCTTAAAATGTTGGAAGCTACGATTATTTGTTTCCTTCAATGTCTTCAAAATCTTCATCTCCCACTAATTGAGCATCCTTTACTATTCTTCTAGCTTCTACTTCTGCTTGAAAGCCCTCCTAAGTGGCATTTCAGGGTACATTTTTTAAAATACTGAATCCTAGCTAGGAATCAACATGGTTAGCACTAGCACTTACTCCCAACCACATGCCTAGGAATGTTCAAAATACTTCAGAGTATGGTCAGTTTAATATGCTTATTTCACTAAATTAAACTGAAAATAATTGCCATTAAATAGTTTAACTTAAGAGTAATACATACATGATGATGACATTTCATAAGTAGAACAAATTATACCACTTGCATAATGATATCACACAAATCATGCCAATAATATATTTTGCATTATTTACACAATGAATTAAGTAAATTATAAGAGAAATGTGGTATACTGCATGAAGAATTCCTTGCATCAAGATCTGGTAAACTGAAGTTTTGCTGTTTCCTGAACACTCTTTATATCAGGGAAATGTCGAACTCGATTTCATTGAGGGCCGCATCAGGGTGTTGTTTGATCTTGGGGGGTCAGGATGGGCATGGCCAGCTCAATGTTACTCATGTTGGGGGTGCCTGTGGTCGTCTGAGAACTCTTCCAGCGAAAATGGGCTCCTGAACTCCCTTTTCGGCTATCTTGCAATCCTCTGCCAGCGAAAATGGAGCTCCATTTTCACGGGCAGAAGCAGTGTAGGCTAGTCCTTCACTCTTTCTAGGGTAGCCCCGCGAGCCAAATCTAAGCATTCCGTGGGGCCAGATATGATTTTTAAAACAGTTAAATGCTATCCATTAATATTTTGTTGAATGTTTTGACAATAATATATATCTCATCCACTTTAAAGTGTCAATAGTTACACAACATTGAAGACATCATTTACATTTCTTAATCTTATTTTTATACTTAGTTTCCTATTACATTACAATTATTACATATTACTTTCCCTATTAATTCACTATTTCTTATTCCATATTTATACCACTTATTACATAACATATTTTCTGTTGATTCTACATTCAGTATATACAACTTCATATCCTTTAGTTAATTACAGTACTACTTTTTTTTCTGTTCTCAAACCATGCATACCAGGCATCCCAGACTGAGTAATATATCGATTCCTCTTTATCTTTTAATTCTAAGGTCAGCCTGTCCATTTCTGTGCAGTCTAATATTTTCTTCATCACTGCTGCCTCTTGTGGTATATCTCCCTATTTTCAATTGTGCATATGAGATCCTAGCAGCAGTTATTATATGTAGAATGATATATCTATCAGTTTTACTATATTTTCCTTTTATTATGTCCAATAAAAATAGTTCTGGTTGAAATTGAATTTTTTGTTTTATTATTTCTTCCAGCCAAATTCAAATCTTATTCCAATACTTTTTAACTTCCGGGAAGGTCCACCACATATGAAAGTATGTACCCCTTTCTTTCTTGCATTTCTAGCATTCTGGATTTTGATTACAAACATTTTTAACAGTCTAGCAGGGGGTAGATGCCACTTATACAATATTTTGTACATATCTTCTCTATACACTGTAGATAGTGTTAGTCCCCCACATTCTTTCCCAATGCTCCAATTCTATATTATGTCCCACATTTTTCACCCAGGCTACTATTGTTTCTTTAACTACTTCTTCCATTTTGAAATTTTAAAGGGAAATTATATAATTTGGATATCATCTTTTTTTCTGTTCCTTGTAAAATTTTATCTAATTGTTGTTTGTCCAAATAAAATCCATATTCTTCTTTGTCTTTTCTATACCTTGCCTGTACCTGCATATATGGCCACAGTCAACGTCTATGTTCTATTGTTTTAACTCCTGTATTGTTTTTAATCTTCCTTGTTTGTCGAGCAAGTCCTTGTATTTCCTCATTTTAACCAGTTCCATTGCATTCGGGTATATTAATGCCTCCATCATTGACAGCCAACCTGATATTTTAGTATAGTGGTTCTTCTTGATTTATTCCATATTTGGATAAGTGCATCCCTAATTTGGTACCTTTGAAAGTAGGCGTGTTGTTTATTTTTCCCTTTCCATAAAAAACTATGCCACCCTCTTAGCAAGTCAGATCCTTCTATTAATAGTATTCTTTTGTTCTCTAAGTTGATCCAATCTCTTATTTATACCATAGCTGCTGCCTGATAATATGTTACCCAATCTGGAAGACCAAAGCCACTTCTCTCTCTTTTATCCTGCAACAATTTCATTTTAATTCTAGCTTTTTTCCCGGCCCAAACAAATTTAGCTATTATTTTATCCAATTCCACCCCCCCTCAAAAAATTATCTAATTTTACCAGCACAGTTTGAAATAGATATAGTATTTTTGGTAATATAGACATTTTAACTGCCGCAATTCTTCCCATTAGTGAAATTTGAAGTTTTCCCCATATTTCCAATTCCTTTTTTATTTGTGACATTAATTTGTTATAGTTATTTTCTTTAATTGAGGAACATCTTGATGTTAGCCAAATACCAA